CCCCCCTTCCCACACTATCCCATCCCTAGGTCATCCACGTCGCCATCCCCTGGACCTCCTCCCCGACCGCCGACTTCGGCACCGCCTGGCTACAGCCCTCCGTCAACGGCATCCTCGCCCTCCTCCGCTCCATCGCTGTCACCGGCTCCATCCTCGCCGCCACCACGGGCTCCCGCGCCGAGCTCCTCAACATCATCTTCACCAACGCCTTCGGGACGCCCCTCACGTCCGCCACTGCGCGCGCCTCAGCAAACATCATGCTCGCGTACGCCAGCAGCACAAAGGAAGCCGAGCGCGCGCGCTGTGGGCGTACGTGCGCGCCGCGCAGCCGCCGTACAGCGTCACGGTGCTGCTGCCTTAAAGAGCGCGATCCTCGGCCCGCCGATCTAGGCGGTGGCGAGCATGGCGGGGCTGAATGTGTCGACAGCGCAGGTTTACAGCTTGTCTGACGGGACGTTTGCGGAGGTGCCGGGTACGCATGGGGTTCTGTTTCCGTCGTATGTCGATGTGCGGAATTTGGCGACGGCGCATGTGAGGGCGTTGACGGAGCCGCGGGTGAGGGGTAGGAGGGCTTTGGTTGGGGGGATGGCGCTGTTGGCGACGGCGGTTGTGGAGGCGATGGGGAGGCTGGCGGGGAGGGAGGGGGCGGAGGGGAGGTGAATGGGCTGGAGGGGAGAATGCAGGTTGATACGGGGAAGGATAGGGGTGCTGTGGCGGTGAGGATGGAGGCGCGGGAGGGGAATGAGGTGTTGGGGATAACGTTTCGGAGCTTGAAGAGTCGGTTGGGGATATAGTGAAGAGGTTGTTGGAGTTGGAGGAGAAGTTTGGAGGGAAGGAGAGGGTTGGTGTTGAGGGATGAGGGATGGAATTGGCGAGTAGGGAGATTAAGACGGTGGAAAGCTGATTATAGAAGAACCTCGTTGGTCACAGTCCATAATTTTGACGAGACTAGATGACTATGCAGATTTTATAGTAATAGCAGAGGCCATTTAAAGCCTTAATGCCGGTATTTTAAACTTCTTGATCGAGCTTTAGTTTAGACGTCTTCATCGTTTAAGATAGCCTATTGTTTACAACACCTGAATCTTGTCAGCTTCGTCATTGTATTTGTCTCATACCTTTTGAGGGGGTCTGGTTATTAATCTCTCTTGGTTCAGTCGTACATGAATCCGGGACGGCAGTAGCCATCGACGTTCTCGAAAGCCGCAGCACCCTTTTTTCCAGCATAAATATCGTATTTCCCATGGGCATGAAGCCAGTAGCCTGTGGACCAAAGACGTCGCTGAAACGCTGTCGTCTTCTCGCGGCTTGGCCACCCGCGATTCCCATACCGAAATTGAAAAGGAATAATACCACCGATCTTTCTCCATCAAGCTTTAGCCCGCCAAAATTCCGCACCCTGGTGGCGCAAGGGTGGAACGTTCGAAATTGATGTAGATGTATTTAGCAGCGGGGAAGTACGAAGGACTTCGTGTTTTTCTAGTCACCACCAATGCAAGCGTCGACGGCATTTATTTCCCATTCTTGTAGCGATATAGAAAATAACAAAGAAGAAAACAGAGCCTTTCCCGATACCCCAGAAGAACTATGAGTTTTACGCACTGTTAACATGGCCAGTCAAATTCCATCCGCGGTGATAGCAGAACCTTCCTCATCCCAGCACCCCAATCGCGAACGCCTCGAAAGTTCCCAAAGAAGGATTGTCACTCATTTACACCGGCTGCGGCACCGCATACCCCTGCACGCTCACTGCGGTCTCCGCCTTATTCGGCTCCACTCTCGCTAGAATAAACGTGTCGTACAAATCCACCTCATCTCCAGGTCCGTGGCCGCCAGCCTCGATCTCCAGTCTTGTGACTTGGCCCGTCTTTGGCCCGACGCCTGTCTCGCGCACGAAGAAGGACTGGTTGGTGGATGTCAGGCCGTAGACATAGATACTGACTTGATGGATCGTGCCGTTGGAGGTGAGAATGGGCGACGCGAAGCCACCGCTGATAGTGCCGTTGATGACGCCGTTGACTGTGCCCCCAGTTATGGGTTCGACTAGGAAGCTGTTAGATGCAGAAGGCGGTGGGGGATATGTAAGGGCACATACTGAGGCGTGCTCCGCCTGGAACGGGGATTGGGCGAAGGGCAGAGCCGAGAAGGATCTCGGCTGTGAGCGTCTGAGTCGGAATGGGAGTCGCGATTGCGCTTGTGCTTGACGTCGTGGTAGGTAAGGCGGCTGAGAGGGTGAATAGGCCGGCCAGCATACCGATGATGGTTGAACGACGCATATTGGGAGGATTTATGAGAATGGATTAGGAGGTTTTCTAAGACCGATGATGGAGTAAAGAGTAAAGGTGATGTAGATGAAAATATGGGAAGCAGTGATGATGCGAAACAACTCGGCTTTAGGGTATTGATGCGATTGAGGTGTTTTTTTTGATGACGGTGATGATGAAGTCAGGAAACTTGCAAGAAGTCTTACATTACTTCACCTACGATGTCTTCGTGCGTAAAAGTCCTACGCCCGAAACCAACCGGCTTCGATCACCCCGCCTATTTTCACAGCCACCATTTTACGCACTCAAGAAGCATAAGCACATTACGAACGCAGTGTATCATTGTTTCCGCGGTCGCCGGTTGTGCGGATCGCGGTACATTCGCATTTTAGCGTGAATAGCTTACGGCCGAGCCGTTCCGCGCGAAGACTGAGATGGGATGATCGTGTTCAAGGGTGCGAATATGCTCAAATGAAAGGGTTATAGTGACGAAGAGGCTGGCGATTGAGAGGCCGATATGCGAAACCAAGCTCGCGGTGTTTTGGAGCTGTAAACTCTCGATGTCCAAAGAAGTGCGCCTTATCTTACATACAAGGAGGTAACCTGAGCGCCCTCCCTGTCAGTTTTGGGGGGCATTATAGTTGTACCCGCACTATTTTCCTAGGATATTACTATAATGCCCCTGAAACTGACAGGGAGGGCGAGCAGCCCGCTCAGGTTGCCCCCTCGTACGGTACGGTACCTCAGAGCGTATCTCGAGCGTGTATTGCCATCGTGCACTCAGCGTCAACTTAATAATTAGTTAGCAAAACTTCAAAAATTAAAACTTCTAAAAATGTAAATATAGCCTCTTCCACCTCTTGCAATCTATCTGTCTCTTTAGGTTTCTTATTTATATTATGGGGGGACAATATACGGTCCCATATACGCTGCGGTTCTAAGATTCTACCAATCTGCAAATGAGAATTTTACAAGCGTAGATAGGAAAGTTCTATGCAACCTTATATACGCTTGGCACTACTATATCTTAGGGCTGACCTTATCTCAGGTGCCTCAGACCCTCTACGAGGATATTGCCCTGCCTGAGTGCGTGTGGTTGGTGTTGGGCGTTGTGCACGTTGTGCACGTTGTGCAGAGAATTCTGCCAAAAAGGCGGTTCACGTGACGGGCAGGCCAATTCCTCGTAGAGGGTCTGAGGACTTTTGGGCGCGGTTAATAAGGGCGACCATCTAGGACCTTTTGCGGTCGCATTCCACCACCACAGCTTGCCTTATTCTAAAACTTTGGGAGCTGCTTCCTTACACCTTTAAGATCTAGCTCCTAGGTTCTTAGGGTAAGGTAAGCTGTAGTGGTGAAATTCCATCTTAAAAGCAGATCGAAATGGCGCGTGAACCAGTTACAAAAATGAACACACTTTTTTTGGCGCTGTAGTTCGCCCCCTAATACTCTAGGTAGTAGGGTATAAAGATATAAATTAAGTATAAGAGTACCTGAATATTCTATTGCATCGACAACCAAGAGCGTGGCTGGTTAAGAATACCATATTCTCGTCCACTGAAGAAAGCTGACCTGTTGAAAAAAAACCAGCTTACAACAAGCCCGTGCCCAAATGTCCTCAGACGCTCCGCAGAGGAATTTAGGGTGTGCAGGGGGGTAGGTGGCAGGGGGGTGAGGGCGGTGTAGGGGGTAAAGTTGTGCACGCCTCAAATTCCTCAAGGGGCGGCTGAGGTTCCTGAGATAAGGCTGACCCGCTGCTGAGATACAATGGGTAACCAAACAGGATTTGCGGCGGTAGCGTACAATTGAAAGTTATGCAACACTAAACTAAATTCAGCTTACACGCTCCGAGGTGCGGTACCGTATGAGGTAGCCGAACTGGCTCTTAGCCACACAGCCGACGGCAATGAGAATAGAATCTTGTAGCGACGGGCTCCTGCACACTACCACCTCGTGCACAGTTTCCTATGCATGCATGCATTAGAAACTTTAACAATATATATATTTACTTACATTACTTAAAACCTTATAGAAAGGGGACTACTAATTATATATCCCTTAATTCCTAGATATCTTCGCTATTATCTTAGCTGCTTCGAAATAAGTACTTGCTTTTTGGATTGCCAAGGTGCGGCCTCTCAGCCGCCACACCAGGACGAAGACTCGATAACCCCGCAGGCAACGCCTTTCGAGATGATCCCAACAACACCTTGGATGAACACATCAGAGTTATCGCGAATTTCAGATGTACTTTCCTCTTTTATTTAGCCCTTTTTTCCCCCTCTCCAATAGAATAACAAATACACATTTGGCTTGCACAGGATTGTTAGGGCCAACAAAATCGCGATCCCGCTGACTAGACCATATCCCGCTCACAGACTCTCTAACAATGTCTACATGGTATCACAAACTGAAACATCCTCAGAGCTCCTCGTCGCCTAGCGTGCCATCCAGGGACGAGGCTGACGACGTCCATCTCAAGCCGGGTGATGACGCTTCCAGACCACGACGACAGCGCTCAGCAAAACACCGTCCTTCAAGGAGCCCTGAGCGAAGGCAAGGTCGATCGCGTGAGTACCACTCTGAGGATGAGGCTACAACACGGCACGATAGGATCAATGAGCGAACCCGGCGAATATCGAGGAGGCAAGTCCCCTCGCCGCCGCAATTAGATCGTGCATCACGCAGCCAAGTTCCTTTACCTCCTCTACTCAGCTCTCTATATCAGCCGCCTTCTTCACGACCAAATTTATACATAATTCCTCGGCCCTTGCCAATGCCAGACATAGCTGGACCTGAAGATAAAGGCCCGGTTTCGGTTCCTCGCCGCTCATTTCCTCCAAGCCCTGTGCCAGTAATTATTGACCCATCGGGCATCCCCATTCATCATCACATGACTGATCATGACGAATTCGAATCTGTGGAGCCCGGGAGATCTCGTGGTTCAACGCCATCTCGACCGTATCACAAAGGAGTACCGCATCCTTCACCTCCAGTTGTCAATAATCGGCAGTCCAACCAGGACGCACAAGCAACATCGTCCGAAGATGATGGGTTTTACTATGGCAACCCTCCGGATTCGCCATCAAGCCCACAGCGCACGTCGCCTCCGCGTCCTCATTACCGTCTTCCATCGAAGACCACCGAAGAACAGGAGATCCCACCACTACCTGTGCCGCCGCTTCTTTCAAGCCCACGAATGCCATCACCTCCACTCCCTGTCCGGGGTAATCCTAGGGTTTCGGGGCCACGGATTCCATCGCCTATCAACCGTGTCCGCCGCCAAACGATGTTCGAGGCTCGTGGCTCATCGCCGTTGCCCGTTGTTGACGTAAACTCTTCGAGCCTTCCACTGAACAAGCCGTCTAATATCGACCAAATAGCCTCCCCTCCTTCAGATGATCGCCGTAAAAGCTTTCCGGCAACTCTTCCTCAGGCAAACCCAAGCATAGGGCTCGCGAAAGGCTATCGACCGGTGAGTCTTCAGGTGCCATTCCCGTTCTCCGGTAGCCTCCACACTCCCCCGGATACGGTTCGGCCAGACGACTCTAGATCAATTTCATCCCAACCTACATCAGACGAGCGCTCTTGGTCTCGCAATGGATCGATGTCACGGCCTCCGCCGCCATCGCCGTCAGTGTCTTCTGGCGTTCTCGGCATCAAGACTTACCAATATACCCCGCTTCGTGAAATGGAGTTCAGATTAGTCAGGATCCTACCTGCCAGAAGCTCGAAGATCAAATGCGAAATAGTTCACGCTTCCATCGAGAATCCTCCCGATTTTGTTGCCATATCCTACGCCTGGGGAGATGCGTAAGAGATATCTCCGTCTTCATCTCTGAATTTTGATTTCTAACCGAACAATAGAGACGATACGCGGAAACTCATACTCGAGGGCGCTATTGTTCCTGTCTCCATGAGTCTACATGGGGCGTTAGAGGCTCTTCGTGAAAAGAAAGAGGACGTGCTTGTATGGGCAGACGCCCTTTGCATCGACCAGCAGAATCGCGATGAGCGAACTCAACAAGTACAGCTGATGACGAGCATCTATACCCAAGCAACGCACGTGGCTATATGGTTGGGGTCAGAAGCGGACAACAGCAACGTGGCCGTTGATTTACTGCAAGACGTGGCAAACAATGCTCAGGTATCGCACTATGTCAGTGATCTGATAAAACTAAGCAGGGATGGGCCTGGTTTTCCTGCTGTCATTGCGTTATTTGAACGTGACTACTGGAGGCGGCTCTGGGTGGTCCAAGAAGTCTTCAATGCAAAGGAGATCTGGGTTTACTGCGGGTCATCTAAGTTACACTGGGACGTTTACAGGGTGGCATCAAACGTCTTTTGGGACCACAAAGCCAACTTCGATCTTACATTTCCGGGAAGCCACAACCACGGCAACGGCCAAAGATCCTCGCAGAATCAGTTCACATACTCCCAGGTTTTGGCGTATCAAGGCCCCAGCAGCATACCAGATTTCAGCTCTATGACCAGCCTCGGGGAAGACTCCTTGCTTGAGGTTATGCGTGCTTGTAGGCGAAAGCTCAGTGCGGATGCTCGAGACAAGGTCTTTGGAATACTCGGCTTGCTGCCTGAGGACATACGCAACGAATTTCCGGTCGACTACAACCTCTCAGTCAAAGAGGTTTACATCAACGTTGTCGACCACCTCCTCCACTCGACCGAACGGCTAGATGTCATCTGCGAATCTATTCACTTCCCTCTCCACACTAGCTCCGCAAATCTACCCTCCTGGGCCCCGGATTGGTCTCATGTCCCTGAAACTGCATCCCTTGGACGTTCTTTCGCTTTCTCAGCCTCTGGCGAGACCGATGCCAAGTACAAGTTCTTGGATGAGAGACGGAGAGAGCTCGAAATCTCTGCTGTATATCTCGACACCATTAGTGTGCACGGCATCTCAGTGGGAACTCTTTGCACACTGGCCGACTACCTGATGGCATTCGTACACTGGAGGGCTTTGCTTCTGGGAAGTCAGGAACGATGGAACCTCGGAAATCAAGAAGCGTTCTGCCGGACCTTGTGTCTTGACCAGGTACCTCAAGCCTTCGCGGAGTCACCAAAGTGGCTGACGGCCTGCTACCACGTCTTCTCATCGCTGTTGCGCGAACGCCTTCCACGAATGCCACTTGACGAAGAGATCCAACGCTATGTGGCCCCTCAAGAACCGGTCCATATCGAACCGAAAGCTCGTCGGCAGTTCCTACAAGAGCACTTTGGCGCACGAATGATGGGACGATGCTTTTGTCTTACTGAAAATGGTCGCATGGGGATGGGATCTGGCTTCATGGCGGCCGGTGACGTGGTTGTCGTGCCGCTGGGGTGCAGTACACCGATCTTAATACGTCCGGAGGGCCCGCGTGGTCGGTATCGCTTCGTGGGCGATGTTTACATCCACGGTTACATGTATGGGGAAGCGATGAAGGGTGGGCTGAAAGACTTGCAAAAGTATGTGCTTCATTGAGTAACTCACGACGACAGAAATAGATTTCAAGAAATGCGCCGGACCGTTTTGGATCTCGGCAGGAGGAGTTTTGCCAGGGAGCACGGGTATGGAGGATAAGGCTTTTTTGTCCCATGATTGGATGGGCTGAGGGGTGGAATCCGTGGAACCTCCAGAGCGGCGGAGAAGGTCTTGAGCCAGTATCAGCGTCCACAAGGTCGTATTCCTGGATATTGGAATGGGAGAAGATACCTTTGTACCAAGTAATGCTGGAGTAAGCAGCAAGCAGTCTGGTGCTGACCTAAAAAGGCTGCATCCTGCGAATACGCGTATATGCGCAAGCCTTATTAGCCTCCTTGGCAGACGTAAAAAAGACCTTGTGTGAGCTTCCAGCAGGGGCTGTGGGGGCCAAAATCATTGAAACATGGTTCTCCGCTAGATTTATCTACATTAAACAGATTGAAGAGCAAACGAGGTACATATAAAGCAAGACAGCCTAAAAAGAACGCTCAACCGAACCCCAAATCCAGTATCGATGTCCGAAATCATGCCGGATCTCAACCGTCCCTCTCTAGCCTCAATGGCCAGCGTCGTACAAGTCAAGTTGTATCGTAGGTCGCTCGCTTCGACTCGAATAATACGCCGAGGTTAAGTGTAAGAGGGTCTGTTGCGGAAATCCGATGATGCGGAGTGGCTTGAGACTATAGCGTGGAGCATTCCGTCCGTCGTTGTATCACAGATTTGTGCTGGGTGTCACAGATTTGTGCTGGGGACTGCATGGCTTGGATCGCCGCGTTGAGTAATGGCTGATTTTGTCCAGAGCAAGAAGTTTGGACGGATTCTGGTCTGAAAGGCTGAAAGGAACGTTGAAACCTGGGTATGGATTCGGTGTATATGCCCTTTTATTCCTTCAGTCCTTCTTTTTCACCAAGCCACATTGAGCTGTCTCCCGTCTTGGACAGCGCTCCCTAGGACTTGCAGAGACTTTTCAGACGCGGTCGCTTCGCAACCAGCATCTCATCCACGAATCAAGTAGGTCGACAGATATCGATGCCCCTTGAGTCCAAAGTGCGCAAGCGTGCAACTTCCCGATAAGTTTTAGGCGCCGCGATATGTTTCAGGCGCAACGGTCATTAACTTATCCGATAGGCGATGGGAGCAACCGAAGTATCTTTCTCTCACGCAGGATGCTGACTAGGCTGATTCTACTTGGGATAAGTTTCCACGTCTATTCTTTTAGGCTTAGCTCGAGCCTGCCGGGGGCCTCAAAACAGTTTTTGAGAGAACCGCTATTCGAGTACTTTATGTCGGCCTGAGCCAAAACTTGTATATGCTTCATCTTGTCTCCTTAGCTTTGCACAACCAGCTATCCTATTGCACTTGCTCACAGTACGATGATGGAACCTCCAATCCTCGTCGAATACCCCAAGGATGGCATCGTCAAAATTACCTTGAACCGCCCCAAGGCCATGAATGGAATCAGCGTCGACCTGCTCCAAGAGCTCGTCAAGGCACTGCACGCCCATCAAAAAAGTCGCGTCATCGTATTGGAAGGCGCAGGCGACCGATCATTCTGCGCCGGAGAAGACTTGAGCTGAGAGAAGCCTTCCACGGACTGCAAGACATCACCCGCTTGACTTCATCCTCCCGAGCTATCATCATCGCCGCCGTGCATGGTTTTGCAATTGGTGGAGGCGCCGAAATCGCTCTCGCTGCCGACTTCGTCATCGGAGGGCCTGGGGCCCGGTTCCGTTTTCCAGGGGTTATGCTCGGATATGCCGTGACGGGTGGAATCAGTCTACGTCTCGTGCGACTTGTCGGCCTTCTGAAGGCTAAGGAGCTGCTTCTCACAGACAGATGGGTGGACGCAGATGAGGCGCTGAAACTGGGCATGGTTAACGAAGTCAGCGACGAGCCGAAGCAAAGAGCGATGTGACTTGCTTTCGGGTTGGCTAAGCTTCCAGCTGTTACATTGGCTTCTTCCAAGACGTCGCTGGAAAGAGTTACGTTCACCAATAAAGAAGCCTGCCTGCAGGACGAGGTTAATGTGGCGAGCTACTGTTTTGCTCAGAGTGGTGCGCAAAAGGCGTTCTCGGATTTCGCGGAGAGGAATGGCGCATCGGCAATGGCAGAGCTTCTGGCGCCGCCAATGGAGACACCGCAGTCAAAATCTCTTCCGGCTTGAACAAAAATGTCGAGCATCTTCTCATTAGAGCAGTTTAACACATTATTGATATAGTATATACCAATTGAGACTGACTACATTCCCCCTTCCTATCGCTTCCTTCATATGGCTACTATCAGCTGCACTATGCCCTACCTCAGATGTAATTAGCCCTCCGGCGTGTTGGAACGCAGTGAGCGGGGGCATGGAGGACAAAAGAGGAGAAGCTGGGGATAGAATAGGGACGGGGTCGGGGTGCCACCTGTGGCCTGAAGGTATAATACGAGCTGTGAAAGGGGGCCGTACCTTGATCCTCACAATGTGTCAGCCCGTTTGAAAGCCATAGAGAGACGCATCTTCCTCCAGTATGCCGAAGGGACTATCACAGCGCAGTCCACTCTTACGGGTCGTATCTCGTCCGCGCTTGCCGCCTTTCTATTTCTCAACATCTATTATCAACAAAGTTGCATTAACGAACACACCTCGAAACCCCCAGTCTCCCATTAGCCAAGTTCTTAGTCATGTCACACCGAGTCGCTCTAGTAAGGGACGTGCGCCAGGGGAGTTCCGAATTCCTGTTTGCGTCTTTGGCACCAGTGCACGTTCTTGTGTAACAGGGCCATGCCCAAGGACACAAGGGTGGATTTTCTCCCTAAGATAGTTCTCCATGCTAAGCTGGATTGCATGTTCATGCCAAGTATACAGAACTGACAAGTCTTCCACAATTGGCCATGCTCCTAGCGCATCCCACGTCGAGCTCCTGTCATCCAGCTTGGCCCACCTCACTACCAAGCGCTTCAAATTCACCTGCTTAGCTACCCGAATGAGCAACTGAAGAACTTTGTTGTTCTCCATCCACTCCGTTTTTTCCAGTCGTGTCATCTTTGAGCAGCCGTCATCGTCGTCTTTGATGTCGTACGCCAGCGAATAAAGGTCATTGGTGCTAGTATCTCCGCAAACGAGTCGGGAGAACAGTTGCAGGGGCTCAATGTCGATGAGCAGTGACTCTAGATTCGGGAAGTGCTTCAGTACGTCGATGACGAGAGAAAGCTTTTCAAATGCTAAGCTGAGATGATCAAAGACTGCGTGCTCAACCAGATCTACGTCGCCTGAATTGCGGATCTCAAGACTCTTGATCATGTTCCGGTAGGGGTTTCCAACGGAAAGGAGAAAAGTGATGGTGGCACCAAAGGGAAGGGCGGGCCGCCGTTCGAATATTCGGAATTTGTTGTTAGACATCCAGAAAGTACACGACTCGTGGCGGGTTTCTGGGTCGTTGGCCAGAGCGCAGAATGCATCGATGGTATCCCCCCATATTTCAATCATCTGGTTCGTCCCTACTGCGAGCTCAACGGCATCCGATTCTCGAAGCATATACTCGTAGATCATGTCTCGAATCTCTCGTGGAAACCTTCGAAAGTCAATGATTGGAAAACCCAGTTTTGTTTCATATTTAGCGTTCCAGATGGGAGTGTAGGTAATAACTGGAAGTTTGCGTTTCGGAGGAGAGCTATGGATGGATGATCGTGCGAAGTACCACATCAATGATTTGGTTCCGAAAGTGGCGAATACTGAGATCAGCACGAGGTACATGAAATCCACATGCGGAAATAGTCCTGCTTTTCGCCACCCGTGTTCTCGGCAAAGTGGACTGTGAGTTGACCATGTTGCGGCGTTGAACCGACAGCAGCCACCTGTGTACATTTTGGTAGCCTCGGTGTCGTAGATGAGAGCGTAGTCTGACAATGAGATCAAGGAATGGTAGACAGAACAAAAGTGACGAGATGAGGGACATAACGGAGAGGGAAGTCACCTACTTTAAGTACCCGCAAAGCGTCGTATTCGCTCCATGGAACCTGATTGAGAAGTATGGCTCAACGTGTCCAATGGAATTGGTGCTCTGGCTGACGGCGAATCTGAGGCGTCAGAACCTATAGGACGAAGACTAGAGGCACGGATGGGGACACCACTACGATAGTGCGAAGGCATCTGCTTGGGCGACCTTGGAAATCTTCAGAATTCGCCTCAAGAGGTTTGCCTTCCATGGAGATTCCTTATTCGTTGTGCCATCGAGGCTACGCCGAACTACGGATGATATATGACGAAAACGAAACCCACTGAGCTGGTACACCTATCAATTCCCGTATGAGATAAATATAGAATTGACATGAGTCTTAATGCCAAGGCTTACTGGACTTGGATTTCTAACACGAAATGAAACTTTACGAAATGTGGATGTAGTGATAATACCTGCACCTTACAGTCGAGATTCGACCTGTTCGAAAAACATTAAAGGAGTGTCGGAACCGATATATGGACCTGCCGTGAAGAACACACTCAACACTCAATGGGATTGCACCTCATATATATTACTGGATGAACATATTTCACGTTCTGGGTAGTGGAACGGGGTAGGTTTTCGTAAGAGGTGCTCACGTGTCTAGCTTCGCGCTCTATTACGTGAGGAATGTCTGGTTCTGGTGAGTTTCGGAGATACCTGAGGGGCTAAGGACTCCGCGATCATTTTATACCACAGACTCAGGTCGTTCTCGTCTCACTTGGCCACAAGTGACTAATCATGCGTGGGTCTGGTATCAGACTTCCATGACATGACTTCCATGACGTGACTTAAATCGGCTGGAGGTACTATGGTTCGAAAAGCCCATCTCGCCGTTAGACATACCACGAGTCCAGGGGTCTAAAGACGTACCTCGATTGGCCTAGAAGCAAGTTGCCGTGGTTGAGGGGGAGAAATATCCATCCGATACGCATACTTTGGAGTACGAATTTGTATCGGGTACTATGGATCCAGTATAAACTAAGCTTAATATAAAGAGGCTGTCGTCCCTAGAATAGACCACGTCCACAATCTGCCGCACAGTGGCAGGCGATGAGTCTGTATTCTCGTTCTCCACTGCAGCTGCTTAGGGGGCTGTTGAAATGAATCATCTTGGGGGGCAGAGCTCATATATATGACAGTGACAGCCTGCACGTGACCGGGATAAGCTCCAGAAGTCGTCTCTAAGAGCGCGCAATTGATGATTTCCAACAGCGGGGCAACCCCTTTTTTCACACCTCTAATTTAGCCTCAGCTCAACCTACCATCGCCATAAAGAAGACTGCTCATCCATTCGATTCTCCGTTTATCCTATTCCTTTCGAATGTCTATTCTATAGAAGCAAAGAATCACACAGTGACAATTCATTGATTAACTCCACCAGAAACATCCCGGCTCACTTTCTTAAACTTTCTGTCACGAAGGCTACCACAGTATCTCATCCCTTCCGCCTTGCGATATACGAAGGGGCATTGAATTATACCTTCCACGTTTTCGTCTTGGGTCATGCATCGCAGGGCTTGGGGCTATTGGGCGGCGTACGCCCCGAGCTGCCGGTAGCGGAAATTCTGTTGCAACAGTGTGGATTAATTCCTGTCTAGAGAGCTTGTATTGACGCTCCTTTGTACAAGGCCCATGTCCAAGCACGCATGGCGCAATCTGCTCGCGCAAATAGTGCTCCATACTGAATTGAACAGATTGCTCATGCCGAATATACATCTCCGCCCCAGACGCACACACCTCGGACTCAAGCACGCGGCAAGTCAAGCGTCTTTCCTCCGTCTTGGCCCACCTTATAATTAAGTGCTTTAACCGCACCTTCTGGGCAATCTGCACAAGTGATTCGAGTATTCGGTTCTTTCCCTTCCGATATGTCAACTCTGGCTGCGGGTAAGATTGCTGGTTTTGGTTCTGGACGCCACCCAGCAGTTGTGCGCTGCCGTTCGTAGCGAGAATAACAGTCGAGATTGCTATTTTGGCCGCCAACAACTTCGGAGAATAGTTCGAGAGGTTCGATGTCGACTTCGAGTGTCTCTAAGCCTGAGAAATGTTCCAAGACTGTCGTAGTGGCGGCGAATCTGTCGAAGGCTAGTTTGGTATGGGCCTCGGTTGCATACTGAGCAGGATAGGTGCGAGTATCCAACTGCCGCTCCCCAACATTGTGTATTTCGAGCCTTTTCGGAAGATGGCGGTTGACGTTTCCGAAGAAGGAAGAGAGAAAGGTATGAGCGAGGAAGTGTGGATAAGAAGAAGGCCGCATCTCGACTATCCGGAATGTGTTGTTGGCGATCCAAAAACTGCACGCTTCGTGGTGGGTCCGATTGTCTTGGCTTACTTAGTACTTATGGAGACCGAAGCTACATTTGACCCATCTATAGTACTAGAGAATTAGCCTGTAGAACTGTTTCAACGCTGCTTGAAGTGCACAAAGACGTTTCGGTGATCTAACGGAGATTCACATCTACTATTTTGGCATGCTTGGAACATTTCCGGGCTACCTCAGGCAGAAGTAGAAGAACGTGCAAAGACTGGGCCTGTCGCCAGGTGCTCCTAAGTTCTATTAGTATTTTGAGGCACCACATCCAGTGCTAGAATAGTGTAAGGATACATCTGTTCTGGCTTTGTGGTGTATGCTGGCCAATAATAAATCTGGAGAAACTCGGAAATACTATGGAACCACGGGCCTGGACCGCATCCCTATTGGATTCGAAGCGAGAAGCCATGGTTGAAGTTAGCAAAATCATCTTCCGCTCACCAAGCTTTGGATATCGGTAAGGGGACCCGTACAGAGTAACCGTGTTAATATTACGTGCCTAGGTGCATAAATCACGCCCAGAATTCTGCATATCCAGAGTTCAAAAATTGGAGAAGCCACAGTATACCAAAACATTATTCAAAGAAATATCTTCGACTCAGCGATCGCTTGACCCGCACCCTCACCTTACAACTGCTTGAGGTACCCCCATAGAATATCAGAAACCAAGGCGCGATGTCAAGTTTCAAATAGTGCAATTTAGACTGCCTTTTAATTGACTACCTGCTTACTGGCTAGTTGCTCCTCACAGTGGTGGCGAGTGGGCAAGTTGAAAGCCAAGCAGTGATAGATCCGTATGCCCAGAATTGTAACTTAACTCCGAACACGAGAGACCACATAGCTCCGATGTCTGCGAGCTAGCAATTCTGCCGAGAGGCCAAATACCACGACAGGAGCCTCAGCTTCCTGTGGTCCTGGAAGCTTATCCGGCAATTTCGGGGCTGGACTATTGTCGAAGAAGGATAGATTGCCATTCTCGCTCGTATCGACCGCGTGAGGAGGCGGAACGGCATAAGAACGCGTGAAGTAATCACGAGAGTTGTTTTCGACGTTTGAAGAGTTCCTTGGACCGGCAGTCTGGTATCGATATTCGCGAAGCCTCTCGAGAGTGAGAAGAAGCAGCTGATCGGCACATTTATGATTCGTCTCCAGTGGGGCTGACCCGCGAGGTGCGGGAGCATGATTGCGAGATCCCAAGACTCTGTCATCAGATGTGAGGGGATTATTGCCGTATCCCAGGATTTGTCTATTGTGCAGACTGTTTTCCACGGGCATGAGGCTCGGAGGAGGACCAGTGGAAGCAGCGTTGTAGGCAGGCATTGGAGTCGGAGGATATGAAGGGTGTGAAGTGGTGTGCGGAGAGCGAGCCACGGGTGGAGAACAGCGGGGGGCAATTGGGCCGGAGAATCCACGTCGAGGAGAGATTCCGGGTGGATCAGTAAGCTCGTTTCGAAGATGGAGTCCAGCTTGAATAGAACAGAAATCGGGCGGATTGGGCGGGGCTTCAGGAGGTGGACAAGGAAATATGGCGACATAAGCAGTGCGATTTCGCTCCATGGCTTTGCGGTGCTCGAACTCCTGCTGAAGTCTGGTGCGTTCTCGCTGTTGGGCCTCCAGCCATTGCATTTGTGACACCCATGCCGCATCTTGATTCTCTTCGCATCTCTTAGTACGGCTGTTATTGCGGCGATTTTGATCTTGCAGTCTTCGTTCCTCCCGAAGCTTGGCCAATTTCTTCTCTGAAACTGAAGTAAAGATGGGGATAGAGAATTCGGTTGTAAATGGTGCATCCTCAGAACACGCCCTGAGTCCAGCTAAGGTTTTAGGCTGGAAAACTGCCATGAGTACTCCTGTACGTCACTGTCTGAGGTCCTTCGTTGCGTTATCAGGAGTGAAGATGAAAGCTAAAAGTCAAGACAACGCAGACTGGAGCGTTCATTTCACTGTAATGGAGGAGCTGGTAAATCGGTGTTCAGTGAAGGATATTTGATGAGCGGATGTGCGATGATGATAATGATGTGTGTGCGTGTGTGTGGGAGAGGGAGAGAGACAGAACGTACTTGAAGCGAGGTTATGATGCATGGGAAAGAGACGGGTGGTGCTGCCTCGTCGCTTCCATAGTTGCGAGTAGAGCCAACCTTGGTAGCCGACATCTATCAACCACCTCTCAGTTTAAAACGAGCTACGAGGTCTGAAACAATACATTCTCTGCAGCTGAATTTTCATATTATGGGCTTTGCCAGCCTCATTCAGCACTGTTTGAGGTCTTTCGATACGTCATGAATGATTTGAAAGGGATGAAAAACGCCGGCTTTGTCCAGCCTGGAGACTCACTGGGACGCCCCAGACCTCAATCTCGATGACTACCACTCTTCGTGTCTCCGGATTTGACATTGGAAGGGTCTCTAAAATGACGACAATAGCAGTTTGCAAAAGGGAACACCTCAACTTCGACCAAACGGAATTACTCTAGAACGATTTGCTCAAAAGAGCGCTGCATAGGAACGTGAGCGTAGACTAAAATCGTGTTTCAATTGTCGAGTCTGTCAGAAATTGCGGTTGCTAATGAACAAAGCTTACAGGTATCCAAATCGCAGAGATTCTGGTATGGATTTCATATTGCTCGACGTTTTGATAGCGTTGGGTTTGACTTAGGTATGAACCAACCTAGCGTACCTACTATGCGGGTCTCTAAGAAAGATTTGGAGCTGCGTTAAATGCCTGGGGGATTAGAGACGTGGCGAGCAAGCTGCCCGCAAGGTCTTCAAAATGGCACCTCGAGCACACACCGAAAGGCGTAGTTGGTATATTTCAAAGCCCTCGATCACATATAAAGGTTTCATTCTTTCAGTCATTTAACCACTCTAAGCTTGTTTGGTATCATATTAGTATGGCCGCCATTTGCAGTGAGTGCCTTACGCCACTAGCCCATCAATGTTGGCAAATTTCCAACATCCCTTTTCTTTCGCATCGAAGACGTAGGATAAAAGATAGGTGCCATCGCAAACAGTATGATGTCAGTGTCCCAGGTAGTAAGTGGCCAGTGGACTATTTCGCTGGAGCGGGGGGAGTCTCGGGCAGGGACAGGAAGACGAGGTGCGTCAATAGAGGACGCTGTACGATGAAGCGCAAGCAACTCGTAGATCAGTCAGGATAACTCGCGATAGAGAGAGATTGGTCACAGGCGCTAAAGATGGGTGGGGTGAAGAAGGTAGTAAGGGGGCGTCGCGAGTCGTATGGATCAGCTACATGATTGACGTGCTGCATCCACTTAATTTAGGGACCCCCTTTTCAATGCGCTTATCTGCTTAGTGCCCACATTCTCTTATTTTGTACCCAGGTCTTGAAAAGCGTATTCAACCATCCCGTTAGATTCGACTACTGCGGTTCTGTTTGACACCAATTATATCTTCTGTATATTGTTTTTATCAACACAAAAAGGCATATACTTTATTCCATGAGGTCTTCCCAATAGCAAACCGACACTAAATCAATCGCCAGTGGTGAGTGACCTGATGTACAGGTCTAGCGTATGCCCGGCGCTGAAATTATGTTACTAGTTGCGAACTCTAGAACTCCCAATGTGCCCACGTAACATGAGTTGACTAGAAAATGAGACATAGGTCGGCATTGCTACTTTTCGTGCTTTTACTACTGTATAAGCTTCTAAGGCAACAATATTACAGGCTTTGAAGTAAAAGGAATGGGTGTTGGGTAGATGTAATTCGATTTCGCATGTCGTTGATTAGGGTAAAAACTCGGGTTGCAGCACTACAACCTAGGGTCAGCAACTCATATGCAGTAACGTATCAGGATAGCATGCTGATACAGGAGGAAGTAACAGGTAGTGCAACAGCAGTGCTGCAGCACGGTATCAGTACTGTATCAGGAAACAGGATGAATCAAGTAACGCGTCAGGAAGAGATACCACGTTATGCCCCCGGGGCTGGCCCCCCTCCTTCCCCTAGTATATAAACAACGAGCTAGACACCCATAGAAATCAGAGTTCACATCAATTTCAACCTGAGTTAAAAGGGGCCAAGAAAGGGTGAACGCTAGAAGCCAGGCGGCATCGTAACTCGCTTATATCAATCTTAGTTCCGCGAAATCTCCTTTGTAAGAGCTTACAATGGAATGCGTTCAATCTTAAGCGAAATATTTTAATAAAGTAAGCTATTCTCTGGACGGCGTCTTGATTTCCACCCCGCTACTTATGACAAGATGAACTAACTGCACAGAAGAGACGCGGTGTATCGCGCCACGTACCATTTGTACGTATGAAAAATGGGTCCCGTAGTTCATCTCGTAAGAACTTGCAACTGAACGAGGCTACCGCTGTAGGGGGTACCTCAACGTCTCTTCATTTCCTTCTCCTCAACCTCTTGACCATAACCTGATTTCGAGGCTCGCGCTTACGATGAAGTGCCTACGCAGCGTGCCCTCGACGTGTACCAAATACAGTGTCGCGCGGTTGTATCTGTAAGACTTTGTAACTGAAGGGGTGCAATTTGCTTCGGAGGTGCTCCGTTAGGTTCTTATAATGCTAATGGCATCGACCTAATCTAGGAGCTCTGGTTCTAACGTAAGAAACAACCACGCGGGGCATACGGGGCGTGCCCCCCGCGTCTATTAAATTTTGACTCTCGCGGTTGATTCTGTAAGAAGTTGTCACCAGCCGGCACGAGACGTCTGCTGAAGCACCTCCGCAGGGGTTCATAATACTTTTTCCGTGAGCCTGATTTAGGGGGTGCCATCGATCGAAATGGTTAACCACTATGTTTTCACGCCGCGTTGACTATGTCTACCTCATATCCAGGAAACAACTACCACTCGCATATCTTAGAGCACTATCATCTACTAAACCACCCCCCCGCAAATTCTGCCCTCGGGGCTCACTCACCCATCCTCCTTCTCGTTTTCCTTTATCCTCCCCTCACCCTTCGGCGACGGCCCATGAACAAACATACTCACCGACCTACCCTCCCTATTGGCGATCCCGGGACAAACCTCGGTCCCTCCCCTCCCTTCTCTTCTTCCGCATTCTCCTTTTTCGCTAGATTCATGCCCTCTTCATCCTTCTCGTTCCCATCCTCCTTCTCCAATATATCCATCCCCTCCTCACCCTCCCCCTCCCTCCCCACCTCCTCCGCAAACCCTCTTACCCACTCCTCCCGCATCTTCAAAAGACCTGGGAGGGGATCAAACCCCCGCTCCCTCCTTTCCATCGCCCCACCATCCCCTGGGGCCGGGCTACCAGCTCCGCCGCGCATATGCCCAGTTTGGTGCGTAGGGGCAGGTTTGGCGGTTCCCGCGCGCTCGGCCACTTCTACCTCGTTGGCTACGGAGGGTGCGAGGGCGTCTTCTTGCTTTTGGCGCTTCTCGTCGCGCTTGGTTTTGGGCTTACGTTTGGAGGGGGAGCGGTGGAGGAGGCGGTGGAGGGCCGAGGGGGGGCTAGTGGGGGGGTCGGGAGTGGGGGTGGGAGAGGACATGAGGAAGAATAAGGGGTGTGGCGATTGTAAAATTTACTGTTTTGGTAGTTGTCCGGGGGAGGGCGGGGGGGAAGTCAAAGAGGCTTGGGTAGAAAGGGATTTGAGACGGGAAATGAAGGAGATGGGAAGGGAAGGAATGGAACGGAGAGATGGGGTTTTATATGTCAGCGCATTGGGAGGCGTGGTAGATGAGGAAACGGGACGGATTGCTAGCGCTGTCTCGTAGCCTAGGTGGATGATGGTGGGAAAGCTGGAGGGAGTTTGCTGCGAGGAGGTGGTGGGAGTGTTGGATGCTGAGCGGATTGAAACCGTTCAAAGGAAAAGTGCGTTGGACATGATATGGCGTGCAGAGGCCGGTTTGAATGGATAAAGGTGTAAAGAGTGTCTTTTGGGATAATGAGGTGGGGACGACGTGTTATGTTGACGTGTTGAGTAGACTGATGCAGAGCTATGATGAACGAGATGGATAAAATACGCTGAAAGAAATATATCGAATGTGCTAGGTAGTTAGCGTGTCTTGATGTAATCCTCACCACCTGTCTCACTTAGGGTATGAAATAAGTCGAAAAATCAAAAAGTCGTAAGATAGCCGTTTTGACGTTCCACATGAACTCCAGGCATCACCACTTAACCCCATTCCCTTCTGCACATCGTAGCACCATCTCCACTACTCCAAGATCCGAGCCCTCCTACATTGTCGGCATCCCCTCGCTCTCCTTTGCAGGCCTATTAATCATCCCCAACCTGATGGCCCAATCCTCCCTCCCCACCTCCTTGATCAACTCCTCCGCCATCTCCAACCGCCTTTTATACACTCTCCTCTCTCCATCCACCTTCAAGAGCCTCCCGTGCATCTGCAACACCTCCGTCCTCGTGTTGAACAACGCCATCACTCCCACACTCCCCACCAATAACCCCAACACCAAAATCTTCCCGATATCGCTCACATTGCTCGTCAACACGGCCGTCGCATACAACAGCAACGTCGCAGACGCGGTAGCGTAGCTCTCCCTCGTCGTGGGATCACGAAGCCATTGCCCAGACGTCACGGCCTTAAGATCGTCAACAGCGCCACGAATCCGAACCCAGCGATCTTGGCTTAGAAGAACAAGGAGATCGCCATCGACGCCGGCTTCAGGCACACCGAACCAACCCGGGGCACTACGGCGGCGGATGATGGTGGTGTTGACGAAGCGGCAGAGGATGAGGAGGGACATTACCAGCACACCCCAATGATCCTCACTCAGCACTACGAATGCTAGAGTCGCCAGTGTTGCGGAAACGGTAGCCACATATGCGAGATAGGTAGAGAGTTTGGTGTTCTCGGTACATATGAGTGCGGAGACGAAACGACGGAACACGGACTTTTCGGGCGTCCCCGTCAGGCGGATGGTGGTTAGTTGCCCTGGTCATCCGTGCTTTTGGAAGAAGGAGACGGTGGCGGGGTTCTCGACGCGGAAGACGTAGCCGCTGGTCATGGCGGCGACGGCGGGGTACTCTCCGCCGTTGAGGGCGGAGGCGGTTTGCTGGCGGTGGATGCCGGGGGCTAGAACGAGGCAGTCGAGAAGCGTAGATGTTCCTGTTAGAGCGGTACGTTGGGAGAGGGTGGAGAGGTCGGCGAGGGCGATAAGTCCCGTGGCTGACAACGGCATGATGGATGGGTTGGGGGATAGAGAAGTGGAAAGGTGATTCTGGGGGTTTGTTAGGGCTGGCTTGAAGGAGGAGGAGAGCAGAGATGGTGACGACCTTTGCTGGATCAGACATGTTAGCGTAATAGTATAGACTTGTAATAGATGACTGAAAGAAGTTGAAAGGTTTTGGATGGAAGACTGGGCTTTTATCCATAATAAAGAGAGCATATCTCAGCCTTGTGCGATGGAGCCTAAATGATAACGAAATAACGCTCAATACGCAGCCTAAAGCCTATTATTGTGGAAGACCTTTCGTAACATGCAAGAAGCTTCGGTGCTTGAGTTTGAATGGTTTGATTAAGGGAAAGTTGATTACTGTTGATGTTAAACCGTCGTGAATGAAGAAGTTGGCGCTGCGCGGAAATGTCACATGATATCACGCTCGATCACATGACCTTTGGCAACTAGTTGCGCTTCAGGCACCAGTAACGTCGAAAAGACTATCGAGGATTGGTCAACGTAGTCGCATGATACGAATTAAACAAAATACTTATATAACCCAATCATTATTTGAGCGTGACGAGGTCACATTCAGAATGGCGACTTTCGAATGAGGACCCTCACAGATAGCAAACTAGGAGCTTTGATTTGGATCTGAAGACTAGCTCCTGCAACGTATTTCGAAAGAAACGTAGGTATAGTATGGACCGAAAGCATGTCCCACGCAGAGGAACCGTTCCCTGAATAAACGTGAATTTGTCCCCTGAATAAACATCAATTTACCCTCAAAGAAGAACTGCCAATGTCCTGCCAAGACTGAGTTGACGACCCCAATCTGTGCCTCAAGATACCCTAGGAGCGAATACCCCTTGGATATAGCTCGTCAAAAGTGAACGAGTCCCGACGGCAAAATCAACCACCAATAAAACTTCAATCTCGTCCCTGCCCGGTGTTACGAATGATCTTATCATAGGCTCGACAAAAGGCACAATCCCCAACATATGGCAGCTATGCGAACATGTGTAGAGAAGTTGTTCTGTCGCCTCTCACACGTTGAGTCTTCGTTTCTTCAAACTCTGAAACGGAGCGTCGGTTGTCTCGTCTGTATCTTCGATCTTCGTCTCGGTCTTTGGTTTCACGTTTCCGTCCTCTTCAATTTTAGCAGCAAGAGAGTCATTGTGTCTCTCGGCCAAAGCCACAACAGAAATACCGTTTTCATGGCCATTTTCCTCGCCGTTGGCTTCGTCATTTGACCCGCCGTTCGCGTTGGCATCGATGATGTTCTTGCACAGGAGGCACTTTATTTCCTCTTCCCAGCTCTTCTCCTCCTTTGTATCCTCAGTACCAGTGCGCAGGTCCGTGATCCGTACGACCGTTCTGTGGGTTCCAGCAACTACTTCAGCTTTGAATGACGCTTCCGGGTCCGGAATTACGGCTCCTCCTGACACTGAGCTCTTCCGCTTGCCGCGTTGCTTCTTTGCGAAAGGAAGCCCTCTTTCTTTATGCACAGCTTGGAGAACTTTCTCCTCGATACAGGGCGCGTGGAGCCATCTATCGCAGGAGTCGCATTGGATGAGATCGTGTGAAGGGTTGAATGGAGTTTTGCAGATGCAGTGTTTGTTGAGTTCCTGGCAGTATTTTGTTAGAAAAGTGGTACCAATATACATGAGATAAGGAGTCCATACTGATAGGCCTGGTGTTTTCTTGTCATGAAGCAAGTCAAACGTCTGTCGCCAGAACAACTGATCACCTTCCAGAAGCTGTGACCTATTCTCCTCCTCCACGTAGTGTATCACGTTGGCGCTGTCCTGGACGGTTGTGGCGTCGATGATCTGCATATCGTTGGTCGCGATGATCTCGTTCAGGCCATGATATGGTCGGCGCCCAGGATAAGGCAGGTCTTCTGGACGGTACATCCAGTATACTCGCAGGTAGACATGTTGCTCATCGCCGGCGCGCACTTCGAGAACCTTCGCAACCCAGCTCGTGATGTGCGCATTCTCCCTCTCAAGCTCGGCGGATGGACGCACGAAGACAAAGTCGTTGACCTCGAAGGTTTTGTCGAACACTGCAGAGAGGAGATGTTAGCAGCGCCAAGTTTGGGAGCTATGAAGATTCGCATACCTGTAAATTTGCGGTACCGACTAGTATCTTCCCAGTAGTGAGCCGGAGCGACAGAATAGACTAGATCGAGCTCTTCCACGTCAAAAGGGTTGGGTTGATGATTCGGTGTAGAGTATAGTGGCTCGTCACGTTTGCGCTTCTTAGATAGAGGTGGTTCAGGTTGGTCGATCTTGCGCATCTTGATCTTGAAGCCGTCAAAGTTTGGATCGTTTTCTTCGAATTTCGACCAGTCGGTACGCTCTCGCTCCGGTTCAGGCTCTTCTTTGGTGACAGTGGGAGGAGTCTTGCTGTTGCTATTGCCATTGCCATTCGTTGGCTGTGGCGGTGTTGGGGCATGACTGTTCGAAGAGGAGGCGCGCGGCGTCCTGCTCTTGCGGGGAGGCATTGATGCTCAGTATATGCAGGGAATTTAGGAGGCAGATGGCGTATATTGAGATATATGTCGAGGGGCGTCGCAGCGATGGTAGCAGAGCTTGATGGTGATGGTGTTTCTGAGGGCGGCAAGGGAGGCCGGGGTGGCGGGAGACGCGACAATTCTGGCTATTTGCAGAAGCGGTGTTGTGGGCGCGGTTCAGTGCGCATTGGATGGGTGTATTGTGAGCGTGATGCGACGGTGGAAGATGCACAATTTACGCGTTTGAGCTGAGGTCGTCGACTCGTCGAGCTTCGCGGTGGGCGGAAGTGGAGCAGCGATGCGGAAACGCCAAGCATTCTTTACGCTGCCGGCCAACAGTCGGATACCCCCTAGTGCGTAACTTTGCACAAGCTCTGTACACTGATATAAGCGTCACGTGCCATCCAAGACATCGCAAACGGCGCAGCATGGCGCCACCTGGGCAGACGACTCGAGGGCACTGAACAAGGCGGATGCTGCGGATGCTGCGGATGCGGTGCTGCAGGACTGGGCCTTTTGCAAGCAGCGGCACGGCTGGGACTGCAGGTTTTCACTTTCTGAAACGCGCTGGGGGCGCTGTCTCTCTCGACGATGCGATGTACGAAGAGCTTCATCGTGCGATAGGATAGAGTACCGGTTCTGGGCATGCAGGTCCGGGGAGCCATGTTGGAGAGGTGCAGCACGCGGGGAAGCCTGGCGCACCTCTGTCCCAAGCTTCACCACAGACCAGATCATTCGTCGTGCTGCGGGCCCTACCGCGTTCCGCCCACGAAACAGGCCGCCAAAGGATTTGATAACGCCCAGCCGGCCGCCGCCCGCAAGTCGCAGTCCGCTCTGCCTTGGGCGGCATCCCGCGAGGCTAAGGCGAAGATCCAGGCCTGGCGGCTGCTAGGGCATCTGTTAGGGCCCCAGAAGCAGCAAACGATGCTGGAGGTGAGATTGGGATTGCTGTCACGGCACCACGCGGGCCTGACGACACCACTGTGCCACTACTGGCTGCCGGGCACTCAGAAGCCTCGTCAGCCTCTGACGAGATGTGCGTGGCCGTGCTTGGCCGCCAGATGGAATCGCCGGCACACGGTATCGACCGTTGGAACATGGCCCAAGGCCCCAGACGCCCACACACCCAAACCGCGACCAGATCCGCCTTGTTTCTGCGCTCGCCGCCCAGCTCCTCTGAAGAATTCTCCAAAGGTACTGACCTCCTCGCTGCCCTGCTGCCGGCGACCTCGACACACGCCATTCACGCCATTCACCCCGTTCACCGCGCGCACCAGTCCTTTGTCCGGCCGCCTCCTGGCCCCTGTCGGCGTCTATTTTTACGTGGCGTCCTCGGTCCCTCTTGTGAGCCTGCCCCCTGCCCTGCGTGCACGCTCTCGCTTCGTCATCGTCGAGCCCTGTCCCGAAGCCAAAGAAATCGCTCCAGTCTAATAATCAACAACCGCTCCTGCTCTCCTCAACAACACCCTCTATCCTCACCTCCAACCCCTCCCGCCAGCGCCTTCGCATCGCCCGCCGTCGCCCAGTCGCTCGTTTGCCCCTCCGTCTGTCGTTTTGGCCTCCGTGTCGCATCCGTGTCATCCGCCGCTGCTGTGGCTTGCGCGGCTGAATTGGCTGCACCTTCAACGGCGAATCCGACCATTCCGCCCTGTCGCTTGCCTTGCCAGGCACCAGGCTGACCGTCCAGAACAATCCTCCTTGGCACCGAAACACCGTCGCCATGCCTCGCGCGAGAGGTACGCTCCTCCCCGACTTTGCTCCCACGTCCTCTTTGTTGCCAGTGTCGACGTCTTCCACTCTTTGCTAATGCCATATGCCTTCAGTCCTTTCCTTCATGTCCGAATGGGGCGGCAGCTCTCCCCACAGCCACAAGAAGGCGCCTTCCGCGTCTGAGCAGCCCTCGTCGCCGACCAAGACTACACCGGCGCGATCTTTTACCACCCCCATTCCGACCTCCGCCTCTGCAACACAGCTCGACAATTACACGAGAAACTCGCCCGTTTCGAACCAGCAAACCCGCGAATATCGCTCCGACTCGAGGCCATCCTCGCGGCCCGTCTCCATGATCCAAACATACCAGCCTCCAGTCATGGAGGTCAGTCAAGACACGTTGCCAGAACTGCAGCGCATCTTCACCTTCCTAAACAGCCATTCCAATAAGCTGTACCAGGAGGGCTACTTTCTCAAATTCCACGATACCGACGGCCGTACGTCTTTCTGTCCTTTGGGTCCCTCGTGATGCTAATTCTGGCCAGGTGGTCGGCCCGCTGCGGATCGGAGCTGGCAGGAATGCTTCGCCCAGCTCGTGGGCACTGTGCTCTCTCTATGGGATGCCAGTGAGTTAGACCAAGTTGGCACGCAAGGGGACGTGCTGCCCACATTTATCAATCTCACCGATGCAGCAATCACAATGGTACGACTTTATTTTGGAACAAAATAGACCCCTGATACTAACCAGCCTAGGAACCTGCAATGAAGCTCGGTGACGGCAAGCTGCTCGATAATATCCTGGCTGTGTCGACTGCTGCGAGCAATAAATACCTATTCCATTTCAACTCCTTCAACTCTCTTACTCAATGGACTGCAGGAATCCGCCTTGCCATGTACGAACACACGACTCTACAAGAGGCATATACGGGAGCTTTGATCGCAGGCAAGGGCAAGACTCTCAACAATATTCGAGTAATTTTGCAACCTACGAAGGTCAAGTACGAAGACTGGGCGAGGGTCAGATTCGGTGCGGGCACGCCTTGGAGACGGTGTTGGTGTGTTATAACGCCTCCCGACGAGAAGGAAGTCGCAAAACTTCAGAAAACGCACAAGAAGTCGTACCAGAAGCCGCCCGTCCTCAAAGGAGAAATGAGTTTCTACGATTCCAAGAAAATCACCAAGAAGACGAAGCCGATCGCGACGGTGTCGGAGGCATATGCAGCCTATGCACTCTACCCGCAATCTAAGCCTTTAATCGATCAGTCGACTCTTGTCAAGATTGAAGGGAAAATCACGATTCATTCTTCACAGCCGAGAGTCACGGACGGGTTCGTCTTTGTCATGCCTGAAGCACATCCAGCAGTCTCGGGCTTCGAAATCATGCTTCGCTTTTTATTCCCCGTCTTCGACGTTTTCCATCTCTACGGACGTCCTCAAAAGCTGGTTTCCGATGTTCTCGATTCCCGGGGATTGATGTTTGCTATGCCACCGGACAGGCGCTATGGTTATCTGGAGATGTGGGACGTTGTTTCTCTGATACACGCTCAAGGTAGTAACTCTTGGGGCGCGAGGGAATGGCGAAAACAACTCAAGGAATTGACTTCAACGCGAATGACGAGCGCACCATCCCGCCATCAGAGCCAAGCTAGCAGTCGCCGAAATACTGTTGGCAGAGCGAGCCTTCCGCCATCCCGGAATGGAGGAGTAAAGTTCGACGATGAGGGGTCTGTCCGATCACAGCCGTCCACGCGAAGAACCTCGCCGGTCCGAGGCGACTTTGACGGGTCTCGACGCGTCGATACAGCCCCGCCTACCACTAATACCCTCCCACGGCATCGGCGATCTGTTTCGGAAACCCATGGCTATCGACAATACCAGGCAGATATGCCGTCTCGGCTTGCTCATGGCGTGAACGCTAATGAGCAATTCGATACTCCACCACCACCGCCCGAGCACAAGGTCCTGAATGGACAAGGTGCTCCGCAGCAGTACCACGAGCCGTACGATACTGGCTCGGATGGAGAAGAGCGCGGAACCCCGGACGAGCGAGACCTGCCAGATCTTGGTGCCGCAGCTCCACCGGCCCCTCCAACAGGGCCAGTCGAAACTCCCCCCGCCTTCGCACACGGTCCGGGACAGCTGCCTCCTACAAGACCTTATCAGCCTCCAAACATGGTCAAGCCAAACGCTCATATGGATCCTGCTACCCTGCATCAGCTCGCGGATGCCACTCAAACAACTCTGCCGGCATCGGTTGCGGCTGCTGGTGCTGCGGCTGCCGCGGCTGCCTGGAAGACTCAGGAGAGCACTAGGAATGACTGGAAGCAAAGTGGAGAATATGGTAGGCGAAGCGGGGAGTATGATAGACGTATGGATGGAGGAAACCAGTGGGGCGACGCTAATAACGGGGGTGCACCAGTCAATCAATCCTACCATCCAGGATTCAGCGGCTCTCCAAGCAAGAGACTTCCCACGATTCCTGCCTCCCCCTACATTGAGCAATCTGAGCCATCGCCTCACGCTTCATACTTTGTTCCGTCAGCTCCTCCTGTTCCCGAACACGGTCAAATGCAACAATTTCCCGCGTACCCCGGTGAAGCGGAACGAACGTCAAGCGACAGCGGTCATATACATCGTAAACCAGTCCCAGGTCGGTCTTCACCATCCTCGCGAGAGGCTCGTGACAATTTCTCATCGCCAGCAAGCTCAAGTATCGGCAGTTTACGACACGATGTGATCGACCCAGAGGCACTCGACACCCTCGAATTCGCGGATACATCTCTAACCAGGAACCAAAGCATGTCTAGCAGCAACTACGACGATGATGCGGCGTCCAGCTCGACTACTGACTATGCTAGCACGATCAGCGAACAATCTAGAACCCGAAGATTGCCACCGAGACAAGAACGTCCTCGAAGTGGAGTGCTGCGCACTGTGGGCGACCCTAGCCTCACCAAGAAGCCAGATCTGATCGTTGGTGACGCTCATTACGATGCGCAGCCGAAGCAGCAAGAAATAGCCACGGATCTTCCCACCGTCGATTTCGGTCCCACGTACGCGCTCAACCCAGGTGATGTGAGACGCCCTGGCACGGCAGGCACGATGACACAAGCCGTCCACGAGGCATCTAGGTCCCAAGAAAAGCTAGGAGACATGTCGAGCGACCGAAAACGCGAATCTATGGTGACTGGAAGGACAAGTCCCGGATTCGTTGGCCACTTCCGTGCGTCTTCCAACTCCCCGGACTTGGCACAGGCATCCGAAGCTCGGACAGTTGCATGGCAACCGGGTATGGGTGCCAACCACGGGACACATAGCAGTCGGGAGAAACTCGATGCGGAGGACTGGGTTCAGCAGCGTGCAAATGCTGCTTCTCACCCTCGAGCATCCCCGGTATTCGGCCATAACAGGAACCAGTCTGGTCTTACTCCGCCTACGAGCCGTCAAGTATCGGGCGACTGGACCAACTTTCAGCCTACGCACCAGAGAACACCTACAGGAGAGTCACTGCCCTTCCGTCCACCTAGTCGTCCGGTCAGTCGACCTCTTAGTCGGCCACAATCTCGCGGTGCCGGTAACGTGCTGATCTCGGAGAAGCCGGCCCAGCTTTCCGCGCGTGAGCAGCAACAGGTATCGAGGATGACTGGCACGCCTTTGATCGATTTGTCGCAAAATAACAAGAAAGACCAACGCCCTGCATCGGCTGGCCTAGTTGGCTATGTCAGTCAGCGAGAGGAACAGAAATTGCTCGCCAAGCAGAACATGACTACTCCAGCCATGCAAGCCGAGATTGACCGGCGGATGCGGCAACAGCAGCAACAGATGCCCATGCATGTGGCACAAGGAAGCTACAGCGGCACACCGAGTATCATGGGCATGCCGCAACAGAACTTCTCACAGCCTTTCTTCACGCCATCGCCGACGCTCCAGCAGCAGCAGCAGACAGGATACTTCCCGCCGCAGGCACCGATGCAGCAAGGTTGGGTGCCGCAACAGCCGTCGCCTGGACAGTATGGCGCGGGCGGCTTCGTGCAAGGGCAACCGCAAGTGCACACACCGACGCAGGCCTATGGCGCGAGCTGGGACCAGCAGCAGGCTGCGAGGTCGCAGGGTCGGGCGGGGCCAATCTGGCAAGTGAGAGGAGCCAAGAAATGAGTGGATGTCGAGTCAGCAAAGGGTCGATCATACAGAGTGGAAAATGGATTAGAGTCTGTTGTATAGCGAAAACAAGAGTGTATGAGAGTACGTGGGCGGTTTCAATTTGGGCTGGTTCGAGTGGGCGTGTTTGGACTGTATATATGGGAATTACAGACTGGGAGCAGGCTTTGCATGAGTTAAGGCCGCGAAATTTCTTTTGTTGTTGGTCACGGGTATTTTTCCTTGGTCACTCTGCATGTCCACCTCGATGAAACTTATCTCTCCTTATCCCCCGTCAAAACTTGTCTATTTCTCCTTTTCTCTTGTACACGCATGCATGATCCGGGGCATTGGGGTGGGCTTGGGGACTTAGGGACTTGGGCATTTTTGTGGGTGAATGCATCTTTCCTCGGTGTCTGCATGATGTGTGGTAGTCGCTGCTATCTTCGAACAGTCTTCTAGAGAACGATGAGCTTTTGGATGAGAGAAGGGATTATGGAGTTTTAATACATGTGGTTTTGGAGCTCTTCTGTATCTTTAGGTCGAGTCAATGGAGTGTGGCTGCTTGTTTGAACCCCGGCCCCCGCTGATCTTATCTGGGTGCGAGATGCAGGTGCCCTGGTTGTGGGGATGTGTAACGTTACACGGCATGTCGTTCGGGCATTGAGGATGTGCGGGGCCGAGATGAGCATGACGCCTCCTGCCATTGACCATATCATTTCTCATAAGAGTTGTTTAATCTGAGTTGCAGGATGCTCTATTACTAATTGACCACCCTTAGGTCCTGCATCTACCAACATCGACCGAGCGGCCACGAAGCAAGAGCGAGGGCGACATCTCTCAAGGGTCCAAGACCCTTTCCTGCGACCTTCCAAGCCGGACGAAGTCCGCCACCGTGGTACCCTCCCCGTTCCAGTCTCAGCCTTGTACGACCGTCGTCGTTCGAGGGGATGAAAAGAGGGGTTTCCCGTCTCCCATCTTCCGTCTCTCCTTCCTAGCACTAAAGTCTTTCCGGTCTCTGATATCTTCCACACTTCACTTCAAACGCACACTTCAAGCGCACGCTCCAACACCCCTACAACCCCAACCCAAAACAAAACCCACCCAAAAATGCCCACCCCCAGCCTCCTCCTCGTCCGCATCCGCCTCCTCGACCCCGCCTTCGCCACCTCTCACGGCTGGGCGACGTGGACAAAACTGCATTTCGCGGACCTCCTGTCCCTCGGCCCTGCCTCTGTCAACGCCACGTCGCAGTTTCTGAACCTCGCCGCCCCGACTGAGGAAGAAGAGGGCAAGAAGGCGGAGGAAGCGCGGTTTCCGTATTTCAACATCATCGAGGTGGGGGATTTGGGCGTGTTGACGAGCAAACCGTATCTGGAGTTGAGCCGGGCGAAGGATCTGGCGGGGAAAAGGGAGGAGGGGGAGGCGATGATTTGGGATGTGGCGGATGCGCGGTTTGCGGCGTATGAGGGGGTTGGGGGGCAGGAGAAGGGTGTTGGGGATGAGAAGGTTGTTAGAGAGTCGAGTGGGGAGGGAAGGGGAGACGATGGGGCTGGAGCTGAGATGGGTGAGTTTACAACGCTGTTACCGTTCCAAGACTCCAGGTCTGATATGTCCGGAAGGTACGAAATACCTCGTCACCGCGGAGATCTTCACCGAGATTTCTCCCTCCGACGCCAAGGAAAGCTTTGATTCGTGTTCCACCACGCTAAGAGGCTTATGTAGAGAGGCGAGGGCGACGCTAAAAGTGGTGAGGTTGTATAAGCTGAGGAACGAGACGCTGAATCCAGTGCCAGTGCTAGAGTCAGCGCCGTGGCTGGGCTTGTGGGTAGGGGAGGGTGGAGAGGGGGTAAAGGGGGTGGTGGGGAAGATGCCAGCGATTAAGTTGGGGGAGGAGGTGGTGGAGGTGAGGTGGGGGGTTTATGAAGTGGGTCATCAGGCTGGGGAGGGGGTGTTTGTTTGAGGGGTGGGTGGAGTTGAGGGTGTGAGCGCGGTGGAAGTCCATTCTAGCATGCTTTCCAGTCATTTCAGATTGACAGTTGTGCGTCTTGTCTTATTTCTCTCGTCGCTTGAACATATTAAAAAGCTTAACAGGGGATGCGTACATGTCACGTGTTTAAACCGACTGGATCCTTGAAGTGCACGTTAGAGGGCTGTTTTAGGAGCACCTTAGTTATCACCCCCCCTTTCTTTGCGTATCACCCCCCTTTTCTCTGCGTGTCACCCCCCCTATATTAGGCCTAGCTCCGGCCCGTATAAATATTGTTCCACCAATCAAACTCACCCGCTTGCCTCCGTGTCGACTGCGTAAAATGGAGAGTATGCATCACAAAACGGAAAGGCTGTATTATAGGCTGCATCATCTAGGCCAATAGGAGTCTATTCGCTCTATCTACTCTAGCTACTCTACTCTAGCTACTCTAC